TATTAAGCTAGATGTTTAAAAATGCCCTATGCTACTATTACCCAAATAAAGATAAATACAAATAAATAATTGTATCTATAATAAAAATATTATGCCAATTTAAAAATAAATTAGTACTTAAGTATAGATAGAAATAAACTTATTTTGTAAAATGCTAAAAGTAAACTTATATGATTTATTCTGCATATTGCTAGTTATAAAACATGAATATAAAATTTTAATAATTACTAGAATATTTAAAACAACTGAACTCTACATATTTGTTTTAATATATTAAATAGTTAATTAATAAGAAGTTATAACAATCTAAGAGTTTTAAACTGATCAGAAAAATAAGTAATCTTATAACTATTAGCATAGTAAAAATATTTAAAGACTTAAAATATTAAATAAAAAAGAATACAAAAAATCTTTTATAATAAATTATAGTGTAAATCTTTACTTGAAATTGAACTTATATATCACATTAAAAAAATATTGAGATGATGATATGTTGTGCCTCAGATATCGACTGGCTTAATTAGAGCTAAAGTTAAAGTAAGAATATGGATATAGTTTAGGCCAGTTAGTGCAGATCAATTAATACTAATTAAGTAGATAATATCTGAGATGCCTAGTTGTCATTTGAGGCAAATTGATATTTGAGACACAATATATATATACATATATGTATTAAACTTTAATTCTTAAAAGTTTAATAAATTATATGCTTCTATATAAAAGCTAAAAAAAAAACAACATCAAATTAAAATTCAACTGACATTGATCTGAGTAAATGACTATGCATTGTATATTAATTTAAATATTACAATTAGAAGTTTTAAAAGCAAATTCAGTTCTTATTCCAGTACAACCACCAAAAGTTCTTTTCTACTTAACATATACTATTGATTATAATATACTCAGATTTTTGGCTTGATAAAATTTTCAGAGTAATATAAAGCATAACTTCATAAATATTGCTTGAATTATTTTCATTATGTTCTTTAGACAATTCTAGGTCTACAAAGTATTACTATTGCAAAAATCTATATAAATTATAAATATTATCTAAATCTTAACCTGCTAATTAAAATCTTAAAAATTTATTCTTAAAACTTATGAAGGTTCTACTATTAGTATATCAAAATCCAGGTTGCAAAATAAATATATAGTATAGCAGTTATTATTGCAAAACATACAATTCTTAGAAGATAATATGTTAATATATAGTATAACAATCAAATAAAACTGGAATATATTAAAAAAGACATATTTGTGATTCTAGCAAATCTAATATAATAAAAGTTAATAAAAGTAAAGGAGAGTTAATCTTAAGATATAAATGCTTATTCAATTAGTAAAAAGCTATTAATGAAAAATAAGTTTGATAATTAGTTTAAAGAAGTAATAATAGTACGAATTAGAAAAGATGTAATTAACAATTCTAAGGTAATTTAGTCATAATTTACAAATAGATAGTGATAAAGAAAATAAGAATAATAAAAAAAAAGAATGATAGTTAGTAAAAGAAGTATTAATAGAATATGTTAGACAAATAACAAGAAAAATTAAATTTATCTATATTGAATAAAATAACTCAAAAAATTTTATGGTCTGTTTATCCAGGAAGCTACAGTAAAACTATAAATCCATTAATCTTGAATTTGTTAAGTCACTATAAAACTTAAGATTTATTATCCATAAAGTTTTTTAAATACAAAATTCCATAAAAGAAATTTGCTAATATTTCAAGCTCACAAAAAAGTTGTTTTTTATACAATTTTATATAATTAAAAAAACATATTATCATAATCTAACCTATAAATCAAGTCTTAATCACCTTTAGAGTAGCAAAGTACAAGTCTTAAACACACATTTAATACTAGTGTTTTGAACCATCAACCAAAAGTTCAACTGGGGCTGATTTGGGTAAACTTCTGAATATTCCCAGCCAATCGCTAATATTTGTTTATATTGGGTAAAATAGGATGCGTCAATCCTATTATATCCAATGTAAACATATAGAGGCGACCGATCTCATTACACAAATTACAAAAATCTCTGAAGAGGTGATAACCAATCAAAATCGTGTATTTTTGAAATAAAAAATCATAAAAATATATTGAAAACAAAGCAAAAAAATTAATTAAAGACTATATAATAAAGTTTATAATAAATGCTCTAAACCCGGTTGCAATAGAAAAGTATTTTTATTTATTTATTTATTAATTCGTCTATTTATTAACTAACTAAACCATCGTTAATTAAAATTTAATAATCTTTGATATGATAAAACTCTACGTCTAATCTAAAACCTAACACTAAATATTTTATGTGATCTTTACAATATAACAATTATTCTACTAATAGAGATATTCATGACCTTCGTATGCAGTATATATATACACAGCTTCTCATTTACCTTTAAACAAAAAAAGAAATTATTTAGTTAGTTAAGCTGCTATTATTCTTTAATTAAATTAAAATATTTCTATGCAAACACGTATATATAATAATGAAATAAACTAATATGTTTAATGTATTATCTTCACTAAATTGTTACCTTTAACTTTTTTTACTTTTTTTCATTCGACTAGTAGAATTTAGTTTGTCTAAGTAGTTTATATACTTTCGACAATATATTTTTTAATAGTAACTTTGATAGGTGATAGCAGTACAAGGACGCGGGATTAACAGGGATTAAAGAAATATGTTGTAGGACACTTCGAATACTTCAAGTTTACTTAGTAGCATTTTTTGAGTTTCTTAGCGGGGTAAGTTATGCGAGCTTTCTAAAAAAGTATTGTAAAACAATATAAAAAAAATCTTTATAAATTGTATAATGATCTACAAATTGATGGGACGGTCGCCCCTGGAACTATAGCTAGAATACTTTAATACGTATGTATAAGTGCATAACATAATTATTTGGCACTTGTTTATATGTTTGATTGAAAAATTGATTAAGAAATTAATCAAGTAATTTATTGGCTATAGCCAGCTACTAGTTGATAGTTGATGATAGCTGACCTAGCTGACTGAACCTATCCCTACTGATGACTCATAGGCAGAAGTTCATCTGATTGGTTAATTTTTATAGATCTATCTGTGATTATTAACCAATCAAATTCATAGCTTTATTACAATATTGACATAAAAACTACAAGGAAACGAAGCTTTATATATAAAAAGAATATGCATAAATCAAAATATATATATTTGAGAAATACAGCATGCTATAAACATATAAAAAAAATATATATAATAAAGTGATTATTACTTTTAACAAGCTTAAATGCTCTATACTTCACTATATATAACCAAGACCTTTAGTAAATCTTAATACTGTAATATGCTTCAAGAACTGATCTAACCTAAAATCTATTCTATACATTATATTGACCTTCTTATTAACAACCTTGTATTGTCTAAAAACCTAATTTAAGATCTTTTAACCTTAAAAAAAGAAAAATAGTTAGTTCCATTAGAAACTGTTTCTACTTAGCCTTTAAAATTTAGAAAATACTTTTTTTTCTTTACCTAGTTCAAAAAGTCATTATTAAGCTAACTTCTCTTAAATTAGAGATTATTAGAGTTTATTTTTAAAGTTAGCTTTCTAGCACCTCTTCGAAGCTAGAAATGATATTTGTTAAGAGTAATCATTTATGTAATCTTATGTTCTTAAAAAGTACTCTAAATCATATAAATAAGTTACCTGAGCAATTGATTTATATTAGCCAATCAGACAAATTTCTGCCTATGAACTAATGACTGGTAAAATGGCGAGTCTGTCACTAATCGATCTGAGACATCATGTAATCTATGACTAGTTTAGTCAATAAGAGGCATTTAGATTTGGCGAGTAATGATTTTGGGTTGTAGGTATAACTTCTTTTGGCTTATATGAAGGTCTTATAATATGTACTAACACTTATAATTTCTATTCACAAAAATTATTACAAACTTTGGCTGAGGTTTTCCACATAACCTCAAACTGGGACAACTACAGAATTTATAGTCCATTAAGAAATTGAAAAAACAACCACAACTATCTTTAGTCTATCGAGATAGTTGAAAAATAACACCATAGCTATTTTCAGTATGTAGAGAATCAACTGAACAGGGTTTTGGTATACTTTTTGTTTATCATGTGTATAAGAAAACAATGATCATTCTACTTATGCAGAAAGTCTACAGACATACTAGTCATGTGATATTTTAGCTTATGGACATGTACTAATCACATGATATTAATTTGGCAATATATAATATTTCTCTACTTTAATTATTATAAAGACAAATACGTATAAGTTACTTCTACCTATTACAGTAAAGCAATTCCCATTAAAAAATATTTGTTAATCAGTATATATTTATTTGTAAATTTACATAATATGTATAAAAAAATTCACAATTGCCATTTTGAGATTAATATATATTGAGATTCAAATGCTTGTTATAACTTGTATTCATATATAATATTGATACATATATAACAATTCTTTAATATAGCAATAGATACTAAGAATAGCTTTATTTTGACAATAATCTACAATAATATATTATAAATTTTTTTTTAAGTATTTATATTTTTTATTTTTTTTCTTAAAATTAGCAATTCTTGAAGTAAAAAAGTTCTTTCATATCTTGCTTTGCTCAGAGCAGATATCTTCTTAGCTATTTGCAATAGGAGGAACAGATACATTAGATTTAAGTTTCATAACTATAAAGTGTTGCTTTTCATGAATATAGGCAAAGACTATTGATACATTTCTGTTCAAAAATGTGTTATCAGGCAAAAATGTAATAGAAATATATCTGCTAAAATAATAAACAGGTCATTGAAAAGCATTAGCAATAATATAGCCAAAGGATGGCATGAACATCCAGTAATCCTTGTTATAGGAGCTAGCTTCCTATTGTGTTACAATTAATATTTAATTATACTTCTTTTTTCCTTCCAAAAATAGCTATATATAATGTGATTTCTGATTACAAAGTTCATTATAGATGAGTTTTCAAACATCTGGCCAATATTCTTCAGATTTTTTAATTGATAAAGCAATAGTACAGAAACTGCAATTATTATCTCTAGTTATATCAAAATATGCCAAGACATGTTCTTGCATAAACTTTGAAATATTTACCTTGTAGAGTTTATTGCTTGAAAGATAGAAGTCTTGTTCTATTAATGAATTTTGTTGCTAAATATTTTTATTATTAGGCTTTAAAATCTTATTCTGCTTTTTTTTTTCTTTGTAGCATTTTCTTGATGCTTGCTTAGAAGTAATTCTTGTTTGGTATTAGAAAAATAACACTTTGTTACTATCTTTTGTGAAGACTTTATAGGTTTAGATAGCGGCATATTTGCTACTTGATTAAGTTTAGTAACCAATTCTCTTTTAGTAATATTATCTGGTAGTACTTAAAATTTTTCTCTACTTTAACAAAAATATCATAAAATTCAGAGTTAATAACATCAGACTTTGAAGGATGTAGAAGCTCAATAATATTAGGCCTTTCAAGAAACCATCATCTATTAATAATCAAAATATGAATTAGATCATTTTTTGGAATCATATATATATAAGGCAATTTATAATTAATCTTAATTAAGTATTTACAAGTTTAGTATTTTCATATATATTTGGTTCATTAGTTATTGATTGAACATTCTTTTGATTTTATCAATTGCCCACATTAATACATAACCAATAAGTTTACTAAATTTAGAATTGCAATATAAATATGTTAATTGCTACTTTGTTGGAACCTTGACATATTGAAGCTTTTAAATATTGTATATGCATTGTTTGATCAATTTAATAGAAAACACTTTCTAAATCACTAGCCATTTCAATTGCTTGTTTGAATGCACTATGGAATAACTCTGTTTATTTGATAGTTGAAATTTTCATATAACAGTATTATTTTGTATAAGCCAAAATTCATAGTTCTGAATCTTTCATCCATGTTTGAATATATAATATTATCTTTTTAGAATCATGTACTTTTTTAGCAGCTTTTTTTACTGCATTTAATGATTTAAGAATTTTTTTTTCATCTGAAGTAAAATAAAAAGCCTCAACTTCTTTTTTGAATAGTTCATAATTATTTCTATTTTTAAAAAGTTTGTGACAGTTAGTCTTTAGGTTTTGTTTAAGTTCAAAGAATCAAAATAAAAAATTTAACTGAATTTGAATAGCAGGTTTTCAATTAAAAATTAAAAAAATTTGGCTGCAGCTTTTTTCTTAATGATATCTAAATTTTAAGCGAAGACCACTTAACATTTACTTAACCAAATTTAATCAACTTTTTTTATTTTAATTCCATGGGCTTATAGAATTAAATTAAAAAAAAATTGATCAAATTTGACTAAGTAAGTGCTAAGTAATCTTCATTCAAAGTTTAGATGTATTTAAGAAAAAAGCTGTAGGCAAATTTTTTTTTAGCTTTTAATAAATATTTCACAAAAACATGCTATTCAAATTTGATTAAATCTTGTTTTATATAATTAAAATAAAAGAAATTATATCAAATCTGATATTGTTGAGAAATATTTGTTTAAAGCTTAAAAGAAAAAATTAATCTGATTTTTTTTTCTAAAATATTTAAATTTTTTAAACCTTTTAACAAAGATTTCTTGATAATCTCTAAACAAAATTCAATAAACTTTTTCTAATTCTGCAAAACTATAAAATTAAAATAAAGAAATTTTTATTAAATTTGATCTAGTTATTGAGAAATCGTTGCTTGAAGTTTTTAAATTTATTATTAAAATCTGTGGCACAGAATTTAATACATACTCAAATATGGTTTAACTTTAATTTTAAATACTATTAATACTAATTATCATATGAGTCAATCAAATTAATCAATTTTAAATGAATGTAATAAGATTTATAAAATCCTTTACACAACCTATCTGTTTATTTGTGCATTTATTTAATATTAATAAAATATACCAAAACAAATCTCTAGTTTTAAAGTACCTGTAGCATATTTTGTTTATTGCAAATTTGTTATGTTAAACAATTTTACTAAAATAAACAAATAATTATAATAGCAAATAACTTAAGAAAAAATACACCAATTGTGCCAATTAAAAATTGTAAACTTTATTAAAATAGCTATCTAATCTAATATATGTAAATTAAATTTTTGTTACTTGTATTTTTTTTTGTTATCAAAAATAATTAATGATAATGACTAATCAATGAATAAATTTTATTTTGATGATTGAATAATCTATCAATTTCATTCTCTATACTAAGAGTATAAAATTCATAAAATTTGGATACACTACTATATATAAAGTCTTGATACCAGAATTGATAATAATAACTTATTTTAATATAGAGACTAAGATAATCTATAAGTGCCCAAATTACAATTCACAGAACTCTAAGCTATTTAATAAAAACTAGAAGAATAATAGTTACATTGTATGCATATCATAAACTACAAATTTTTATACAAATATACATGCAACCTGTTATATGATAATTAATGATTAACTCTACTAAGAGTTGTTAATCATTATTATCTGCACAGATCTCATCATTTTTTGCAAATACAGAAGTGTTGTTGTAAATTCTAACCAAAGAAGGTAAAAATATAAGCAAAAAGCAAAAAACATGTCAAAACCTATCTAAATGAATTATAATAAATAATATCACATCTTATCCAGTCAAAAGAGAGAAAAAACGTGATATAGTGTTAGAAATTATAAATTAGAAATGGAGAATAAAAATTATTGAAAAAACAAAACTTAACTGTTGCAATTGCATTGCCACAAAATTTATATATTATGAAAAAGCATGTTTTTAATTAGAAGTTGAAGTTTGTGTTTGTGCATATTATAACAAAACTTTGTTAAATAGATTGTTATAAAGAATATTGTGTTTTATCTGAATGAAAAAAAAATAGTGCAGTGTTATACAATATTATATTAGGAAAAAGAAAAAAAAATCTGTTAAAAATGATTGAAAGAAAAAATATTAGATTCTTAAATGAATTTGTAATTTGCATACCATCAAACTTATAAATAAAATTACTTTTTACCTTTGCAAAGTAAAAACATTTTGAGCTAGTATCTCTTGTTCTATTTTATAAATAAAGTCATTTTTTACCTTGGATAAATATACATATAACACCCTGTTACATGTTTTTATTTGTAACAACTTTGAAAATTGGCTATAGAGTTTGGAACCAGTTTATTTTTAATATACTAAACTAGGTTTAATCAGTTTTAACATATTAAAAATAAAAGTTGGTTCTAAACTTTACTTGGGCTTGTTCAATTACTTACTATATACTGTATTACGAATTAAACTATATTTTGTTAAATGACTTTAATGTATTGTATGTGTATATGTATACTTTTATGTATTTGGTATGTATCAGGTATGGTTTGTTTATATACATATCAGATTATTATATAAAAATAATGAAAGAATGTATAAAATTGCTCTTTTCTTCCTCCTTTTAAGTATAAGTGGCCTTTTTATATCTGATATCGATAGACGTACGTATATACAGATCTTAAGAATTATTAATAGTATATTTATACTCCGCCTTTACTTTTTTTTTAGGTGATAGATTTTTTTTTTCTAACCTAAATATAATAAGAAGTAAAAGCAGATTAACGAAAGTTGTTAGTTTTTTTTTTTTTTTTTCTTATCCTCCTTTTTTTTTCTTTTCTAACTCCCAATGTGAATAAGTAATTAAAATTTATATTGGCTTGTTCTTTTTTTATAAATATAAGAAGGCTAAAAAAGGCTAAAATCATTTAAACTATATATAACGAACAATCTTGTATCAAGAGTTGAGCCTATTTTAAAGTTAGAATATAGCTTTAGATTTTGTTCTGCCTTTTTTTTTTCTTTTTTTTATACTGGTTACATACTGTACTTTAACAACATGGATATATCGCATATTCAAAATATCCAAAGTAGATATCAAGATTTTGTATTAGAAAAGTATCTTTCATTTTATAGTTTGTTTATATTATTAATTTAATATAATTCTTTAATTCAGAACAAGATGAAGCAAACGATCAAATATCTCAAGATTTAGTTAATAAAGGTAAAAAAATTAAATTTAATATTGTATCATCTCTTTATATTTGATATTTATATAGTTAATTTTTGTTAGATATAAATCTTTATGTTGGTTATGTATTTACTTCATGGAGTGATGTAGAAACTGTTATGGAGATTTATGGTAAAAAGCATGAGTTTACAATTATCAAGAAATAATTAAACCGACACGAGGATGGTAGCATTAAACATCGTTGTTTTGGATGTGAATTTAGTGGTCACTATCAACCCAAAAAAAATATTGATATTGATAGTCATAGGGATCGCAAATCAAAACGCCAACAATGTGAATGGCATATAAATATTAATTGCACAAAAAATTCTCAGCAAATAGTTATTACAACCTTTAATGATACACATAATTATGATTTATTTCCCGATACTAAGAGTTATTCATCAAAATATCGATGTATTTCTGAAGATGTTTTAAAGGAAATTCAATTTCTTACCGAATATGGAAATTTATCAATTGCTACTCAGAGAAAATTACTAAAGGCTAAATTTCTAACTCAATTTATTTTTGATCATAATCATGCAAATGCTATACAAAAATACAAAGTTAAACCACATGTAGAGCATGACGCATCACAATTACTAAGAACATTAATTGAACGCAAATCATATGAGCATGGATGGTTTGTTGAATTTCAGCTTGATGAAGAAAACAGGCTTATTCGGCTCTTTTGGATGTCCCCGACACAAATTGCACTTTGGTTGGAGTATCATGATGTCATATTAAATGACAATACTGCAAAAACTAATAGATATCAGATGCCCCTTTCACTTTTTATAATTGTTGACAACAATACCAGATCACGGCTTGTTGCACAAGCTGTTATATCTGATGAGACAATTGATTCCTATAGATGGATCTTTGAATGTACAAAAAAAGCGACAATGACAGAACCATTGGTGTTTATTACTGACGCAGACCCTGCAGCCGATGCTGCAATAACACAAGTTTTTGAGAAAACCTATCCAATTCATTGTATTTTTCACATAAGTGAAAACTTACCAAAAAATCTTAGATCAAAACTTCATGATGAGTATGACAATTTTGTTCATGATTTTTTTAAATGTCGTAATAGTTTGTCCGAGAAACTTTTTTATGAAAGATGGTCAAAGCTTACTGAGAAGTATCCAAATGCAAGAGATTATTTGATAAGAACTCTTTACCCCAGCCAGCAAGCATGGGCTCACACATTCACTTCAAAAATATTTACTGCAGGAATACAAACCACTTCACGTGTTGAAGGACTTAATAACATCATCAAACAAGGTCTAAAAGCAAATAGTACATTAAACGATCTTGCAGATATAGTTAATACACGACTTGAGAATGAGGCTCAATGGAATCGTTTTTTTGAATATCATACTCTATCATCATGTATGGGGATCACATCAGTCGGTCATGATCTCTTTTCTGAGATTGAAAAAATAATGTCAAAATACTTAACACCTTGCACTATTATGTCCTGATTGACCGCATGTACGACAAGTATACTTCGCACGTGGTTTTTTTTCGGTTGATGATTTGTATCGTTTTGTTTCTGGACGTCCTCTGTGACGTGATACAGGTGGGTTTTCAATTCTTTCAGGATCATTTTCTTTGTCAGTATCGCTTTCTATGTCAGCATCGCTTTCTTTGTCAGCATCGCTTTCTTTGTCAGTATCGCTTTTTGTATCAGCATCGCTAGCTTGAATTTTGGGTGATTCCAACGCATTGACCTTTTAACAGTAGTTATCGTTTCTTTGTGTTGGTTAATAAACTTTCTTAGCCATTCTACCATTTCAGCATGATTATTATGATCAATTGCAAGCTGAGCCGCTTGTCGCGCAAGTCCCCATATTTCCCCATATTTAGCTTTTTTTTTTGCTGCGCAGCGTAGAACCGTGGTGACAGTCACAGGAACAGTTGATGGATTTGAAGTAAGTACCATACCAGAGAAACTTTGCATAGCTTCTTGATTTACAAAATAGTAAGCTTCCACAAGTGTATCCTTATCTTTTTGATCATCAGTATACCACCGTGAAGGTATCATCTGAATATGAAATCCTGCAATAGTTGAAATCATCATTACCCGAAAGTAATGACGGCAGACAATACCACGGGATATGTCGGACATGCACGAACAAAGATATGATACAGGATCGATTACTGTTACAAAATTAGTATGCTTATTTCCGGGTCGCATATCCGTTATTTTCCATATTTCTTTAACATTTTGTTCACCAATTTCAGTAATCATTGATTTTAATAGGACTTGCTTAGCGTCATATACATCTTCAATAAATCCATTTGACATATTATCTGAGTCCTATTAATAAAGATGGTGTTAAATTTTTAATGAATTTAATATCAAAAATACATCATTTATACAAGCGATCATGTAATATAAGTTTAAATAAACCAAATCAAAAATTTACATATACAATTTAGGGGAATTTACATATAAGGGCCCAAAAAATGAAAATAATTACAAATAAGGGCCCAAAATGGAAATAATTACATATTAGCATATAAAATTATATAAAATTATATAAATGAAATTGTCTTTGACATTTAAACGCATTACTTTTTAATCAA